AGAGAGATCTAACGTTTGCGCTTTAGCAATTCACGGTCACAGAGGCCCGGTGACGTGTGAAGAGGGAAACTGTGTCCAAAATGAAACATGTAGTGCATGGTTAGACAGAGCGTAGCGTCATATAATGTACCGATGTATCGAATAGATAAGCATTTTGATCATTAATTTCCTATAAGGGCTCTACTCAGATTGGGTATTAGTCAAAGGGTTGCTTTATGCTTTCGGCAGTATCTGAATTCCAGGTTCGCTATTTTACTTGCTTTTTGGTCATATACTCGGCCAGCCGTCGAGAGGCCCAGATGGAAAAAGTGGCCACATTTCCAATTGAATCACATAAAACAACAAATACAAAATGAATAGAGACTTACCCAAACCAAAACCGGTCACAATCACCAGCATCAGGGCGATACTGGTTAGGATAGCCCAGTGCAGCTGGACAGCGGCCCGTTTCTCCTCATCCGTTGCGCTGGTCACCTGTGCATTGGCTCCAGAATTGGGCATAGAATTGTGGTTGCCAGACGGAAAGCCGCCAGCTTTTTCTTTTCCCATAGCCGGCAACTCCAAAGCTTCAGAGGAACGAACATATTTCGGCTTATTCAAAGTAAAGCACTATACCAGATTTAGATTGTAATTTATTTGGACATGTAGCTTCATGACTAAATGTATGGGATATTGTGAGATTTAAAAAAGTTTTTGATTTTTTTTAATTGTAAAATTGGTATAATTTATTTTTCAAAGGCACCTCATCAAACATTATTGCTACTGGTTGACTTGGATTACAAGGCCTTCTCTTAGATATAAGGTAAGCTGACTTAAGGAGCACGATAATACAACATTATTATTCTGTTGGTGTCTGATAAGTATTATTATTACCTCTCCCCAATCCCAAACTGTGGTATTTGCGATTGAGCATACATGTGTTTGTCATTGTAACAGATCATGCTACTTATTTTCAAAGTAAGTAGCTTGGGTATTATTCAAGAATGACTATTTGTGTCTAAAACCACTTATATCAAAAATAGGTAACATTATCAGTTTCTGTCGTCAGGCCCGCTATTAATGGGATTTTTGAGAGGCCTGGCTTGCC